TAAATTTATGATTCTACTGAAGAGAAAAGAATCGGAAATGGTGAGAGTACCTGGAAGGATTTTTGTCTCGCATGTATTCAGAGGCAAATATCGCAAGTCGAACATATACCCCCTTTATGATCGGAATATGGGTCCCGCAAAGACGCTATGACCTATCACCTGTTTCCTACGAGCGGTGCCATCGTCGATCCGAATTTTGAATCAAGAAAATCTAATTCCTTTAATTCGAGAGTGGACTACGTGCGATCTTTGAAAAGGCAAAGTTAACGACGACGAAGTTTTAAGGTTTTAAATTTAAAGAACGAGAGAGATGTAAAATTATTACTATTACTGTTTATTATTATTAACCATTATCAATCTATCATTAACGGATTACGAGTTTAATACAGTACAATTACAGAAGATAAAGGTTACATTAATAAATTTATTATTACAAACTAATTAATTAATATGATTACTATAATAAAAAGACAGAAAAAATTATAGATCAACGAGATTATTATTAACTATTTACATGTTAAGTTGCATTAAATCGCCAAAGAAAGAAGTTTTAGAGCGAGCAAGAGCAGACAAGTTTTTGTTCATTCTATTCTGTGGATAATAACGAAGGAAGGAGGAAAAAGATTGAAAAAAAATTTCATCAGAAATATGGATAGGCGGAATTCGGAATAAACACCGGAACACAAGAACGGGCAGGCTGGCCGGCAATTCCATGTCGGATTTCATATGGACTAAAATAAAAGTCCCCTCGGGAATAGATTCAGTAATCTGCGGGAATTGTCTGACGAGTGACTCAAATAAGTCTCTTGGATGTGAAAATAGGATCTCGGTGGTGGAGGAGGAATTTCTTCTAGGAACTTCAGGCTGTCCGTGGAGTTTGTCGGAGACGGAGTTCCTCTGGGAGAAAACGGGATTGAGATGATGAATGAATCGGGTATTAGCGAAAGGGTGTCAGGAAAAATTTGCTCCATCAGAGCGTTCGAAAACGCAGATGATGGAGATTGAGGAGGAGGTGAAGGAATTCGAAGGGGAGGTGAAGGAGAAGAAGCAGGTATCATCTCTAACACATCTCGGTTAGCAAGTAGAGCCGGCGAAGCCGGTGATGGCGAAAGTGGTGGAAGCAATGCGTTCTTAGCTGGGCGATTTCGATCTCGAGAAGTCTCAAGGTACTTCTGGTACGCTTGGTCTACGAGTCTCCGCGCTTCACGGTAGGTCCGGCTTCTAAGACACCTTTGTGGGGGCGATGGCACTAAGCGTGGCACTATGGTTTTGCGGTGAATATATGGATATATAAGTTAAAATGGGACTTACTGCTACTCTATAGATTTTGGCTTTCGAGGATGATTGCCGGAGGTCCAATCTCAGTGGTCTCTGACTGTAGAGGCTGAAAGTCCTGTGGACCTAAGTGATACGGAGATACTGGAATGACTCGACCGCGTCGCGGATCACAATTAAAATTAGTTGATAGAATTGATCGCGGACCGACAGAGTGTCGTTTGATATTTAAAATTTGACTGAACCGGTAGTGGATCGGCAAAGGTTCGTGGTTAAATTTTGACTGGTAGCGGACAGAGTGTCGTTTTGTAGCTGAATTTTGACTAATTGTTCGCGAATGGCCTCTTTTTTATATTCGCGAGTGCAGATGTATTTTATTGGTCTAATCTAGAATTAGGATTAAGAGTATCGGTTGTGAAATGGGATACTGGGATATGTGTCTAAAACAATTTCTATTATCGATCATTTGCTGGATGCTCAATAATTTAGAGCCACATTTGTCATTTATTACAGACAACTGCTGTTTCAGTTAAGTTGTAATTTTTAATCTATTTACTTTTTCTGTTCCTCGGAATAAAGTTCATTTATTCGGCACTTGGTTCAAATATTTAATCTAACAACTTTATCCCGAGTGGATTATTAGTCTAAAAAGGCAAATGTTATTCTCGTCAGTATTGTAATTTCTTGTAGTAGAAACAAATGGTCTACCAGTATTATTTGTTAATAACTTTTATGGTGATGAAAAAAATTCTAATAAAAAAAAAGAACTATGGAGTCTGAACGTAATATCTTATTAAAGGCTCTTCCTATTCCAAACCAAATAGTTTACATTCCTCTTAAATAAAATTATTATATTACAATTCATTCAAAGGCATTTTCTTTTTCAATTAAAGTAGTAGTTATTTAATTCTCCTTTAAAACATTACACAAAACATTATCACAAAATTGCGTTATCATGCTCAATTTAAGTGTTACAACAAAAAATTTAATTAACCGTATAAAATGAAAAAAATTAATTTAAATAGAAAAATTTCTCATGTAAAAACGCTTTGCGCTGATCGAGTAAGAAAAACTATAAAAATAATTATAAATTATAATGATAATTAATAAAAATAAATAATCTCCTTTTGTTAAATATTAAGTTATACACAAATCGAAGTCAAATAAATCGCTTTGTCATCATCTTTTGGCTTAGTTAACAAAAATAGTGCATAATTTTGTTTCCGTTCGATCTCCTTTTGTTAAATAATGAGTTATAAACAAATGAAGATCAAGATTGAATAGATTCCTTTGACATTATTATTTCCTAACTTAGTTAACAAATAACAGTATATAATTTTATTTCTGTTCGATCTCCTTTTGTTAAATATTAATTATAAACAAATAGAGATAAATCTTTTCTTCATTATCATTTTCTAGCTTAGATAACAAATGCCAGCGTATAATTTAGTTTTCATTTAATCTCTTTTTATTAAATATTAAGTAAATAAACAAATGGAAATTAGTAAATATACTGGGCCGTTTTTAAATCACTATGTATTAGTACATATACGTATACGCGTATGTATGTATGTGTAAGGGCCCGAGAGTAGGAGAAGTACATTGCTAAATATTAAAATTACATTATTATGTGTTTAAAATTATTTATTCCTTTATATTTACACCTTTCCTTCGTCAAACCCCGTATATTAAATTAATTGATAAGGCGTTCATTACACAACTAAAAATTATTACATTTAGACTCTAGGCCATATCATTTTAAAATCATTGATTAAATACCCATCTTAATAATACCCATTTAATAAAATCGAGAAGAAAAGACAACGAGGGGGAGAATACAACGGGGATAGAAGAGAGAGCGCGAATAATATGATAGATGTTCGAGATTAGCATCCGTAAAGCCGATTTTATGGAATTAGTGTATGTGCGGCAATGTGATTTGGAAGTGTCTAGAAACGCTATATCATTTAAAATTGTTCTGCTTCCAAATGAACTTGACAATCACCTTTCTTTGTTGAAGTCGAGAGAGTAATCAAAACCGCATATTGTACATACACAAAAACCAATTGTTAAAAACGGCAATTACAGTTCTGATCGATTACAGCGCACGCGCGCTCGTGTGACGCGAAACGCGTAATTCGCTAACACCCCCTTTTCTTTTTTAGTCGCGTTAACGCTCCGCAATTTAGATCAATCGCCTCTGAGATGCTCCGCCGAAAGAAAACCGCCGCGTTCGACTCGTGATAGAAATCCGAAAGGGTGTTCGCCTGTAAAAAGGAAACGTTGATTTCCATCCGCGTTTATTTGTGCTGTATTAAATTCATCACAATCATAATATGCGATGGGTAAATTTAAATATTATTCATTTAAGTAATTATTTTACAGTAAATAATTGTATAGTAAATATATTTTATTTCAATAATGCAGTTTCTGGGTACATACACAATTTCCTGGAGTTATTAGAGCAATAGATGGAACTCATATAGCGATTGTCCCACCAAATATAGAGAGAGAGCATCTCTATATAAACCGAAAATTATATCATTTATTAAATGTTCTCATTGTATGTATATTATTTTTATAATATACAGTAGAATAAATTAATGTAAGAGTAATTTAATATATTTATAAGTTTATAGGTTACGGATTACAACGGTAAAATTTTGACCGTAAATGCTGCACACGGAAGAACGCACGATGCCAGAGTTTGGAGAACATCTATTTTATCCAAAGAGATTATCTGCAAGAGATGCACGCTGCAGAACAGATGCTTGGCTTTTAGGTAATAGCATATTTAGTTAGCAGTCTCTTTTGTTTGCTTCTCGGTAAAATAATACTTTGCTATGTATAATAAACATTAATATGTTTTGTTTGTAGGTGATAGTGCTTATCCATTATTACCATATTTGATGACACCAAAATTAAATGAACCTGAAGGTACACCAACAGCAAGATACACGTGGTGTAACATTAAAAGTCGTTCTTCTATAGAACAGACCATTGGTAGATTAAAGGCGGTGCCTTAGGAAAGACAGAACTTTGCATTATACACCAGAAGTTGCAGGTATCTTAATAATAAAACATTGTATATGTTTAAACTTTTTTATAGAGCTACATAATTTGTTTATTCTATTTTTAAATTTGATATAAATATTTTCATTTTTAGAATAGTTAATGCTGCTTGCGTTTTGCATAACATCGCTCTTCATTGGAAACTTCCAGAACCAGAGTTATATTATGATGAAATAGATTTGGAACGTCCAGTAATAATAAATGAAGATATAGCAAGAAATGGGAATGAAGTTCGCGAACGGCTCATTAATATGTGTTTTCAAAACGAAAGATTGTTATAATTTTAAGATTTTTATTAATCATTGTTTTACAACAACCGAAACATTGCACATACATTTAATAATCAGCATTACTTAAAATATCTTTTAATTAGAATACTTTTTAAATAAACGAATTTTTCTTTTTGCAAAAATAATTTTTTAAAAATCCTCAACATTTCTTGTTAAATTTCATCATTCGTTATATACTTTAATGAAACAAAACAAATATAAATAAGTATTTAAAGAATGGAAGTCTTATATTTAATATTATATGAGATATGAAGATGCTATTTTTTCAACTTTTCTTAAACGCATAACATTATAATCAATATTATTTAAAATATCTTTATAATTAGAATGAATACTTTTTAAATATTCAAACTTTTCTTTTTGTAAAAGTAATTTTTCTTTAAAGAAAAAATCTTCAATTTTTCTTATTTCATTTTCATATTCTCACGCATTAATTGTACAGCTATACTGGAATTATTTTCTTTATTACTATTGATAACTAAAAAATCAAAAACATTAAAATATATTTTTTTCCAAATTCTATGTACTTTGTTTTATTTTATGATGTTAATTTGATATTTAAAAAAGTAATCAATAATACCTTTGTCTTGCGCTTGATAACGTTTAGAATTGACCTCAGGTGATATGGTATTCGTATTTTCATCTATGAAAATAATGTCATTAAATTCAAGAGCAGATTCAAAAGATTTATTGTCAGATTCAAAAACATTATGTTTAGAAATATTGCTTTCCATTTCCTGTAAATGTTCATTTTTATTTTTTTATTATAACACATAAACATTCTATTTCCTAATAAAGAATATATACTGATTTTACTTAATCGTGTTGAAAAATCTGTGTCGTCAAGAAGTTCGCTTGCGGATATTGATGGAGATTTGATTGTCATCCATCTTACACATTTTATTGCTAGTATCCAATATAGAAGTATGTTTCTTGAAATATTAATATATTTTTATGTATTACATATATTACTATTTATTATTATTTATATCAATTATTAATGTGATATCATATATAGAATATGATACATATTATACCCTTTTCATTTGTAGAAAATTAGATAAAAGTGGTTTTCTTAATTCGATTTCTTGCGCAGTGGTTTTGTACAATCCTTTAGAAGTATGAAAGAATTCCCTTTTTGGGATTATATTATTAGTAGATACAGATCCTTCTGTATTGTCCTATTAAAATTTCCTCCTTCAGGTATATATCATCCAAACTAGTAGCTTCTGGATCTATGATTTCCAATAAACTTTCTTCTGTTAACTGAAGTACTTTTGATGGTACTTTCCTCCACCTGTACCACTAGCGTAATTTTGATTTTGTGACTTTTTTAGCACATTTGCTTTTCAGTTTCATGTCTATATTTACGTAAAATATAACATTTCTAAATAATCGTATCAATATAACTAAATGTCATTCTTCTCATTTAATAAAATATTATAATTTTTTTCATAAGTACCTTTCGCCATTCTTTTGCTTGCTTTTAAGGTCCATTTCCAATAGCATTTAAGGGTATAGTGATGGAAGCCCACATATTATTCTGCATAAACAAAATTAACTTATTACCAAAATTTATTTATTACCTATTATTATATTATAAACAAAATATTATGACAACCCCGATAAAATCTCTAATTTTAATATAAACTGATAATGTATAACACTTACTAATATTTTTTTATTGCCATTGCTGTAATGTAAGCAGCTTCTTGCAAAATCTTCATTGTCTCTCATATAATTTAATAAAATTATTTTCTGCTTTTCCGTTATGTTTATTTTGTATTACTTTCGTTATAACTATTAATACCTAATAACGTAATAATAGACAATAAACATAAACGAGATTTTTCATTGATCAATCATATTATGCATAAATACAGCTTTTTACAAAAGAATTATTTTTTAGCATAATGCGATTGATCAAACGATGAATTAAAAAATTTGACTTATAATTACTTCTAGCACTTTTAATCTCATTTTGTGTATAAACCTATGACTATCGATTTCAAAATGTGAGATTACTATACCGGAAATACCTAATTACTTCACATTTTCACTTAAAAGTTCCGTAATTAGCTGACTAAAGTCATGAAATGAAAATGCGAAAAGTGATTAAATTCACGGAGAAACCGTAATAGACCCCCTGGTGACGCCACTTCCTCTCGCGGTCCCCTCGCCCAGAGACGTCGATTCTCCACTTTTTAAACTATTTTTATTCGGATATTGCATTTTTACGATGAACACTCACTTCATATAATATCAGATTATCCATATCTTGATCCAAAAACAGCATCTATCCATGCTTTTCGATATTGATTTACTTGGGAAATCTAATGTATATCCATCACTGGATTTATTGAAACATCTCTCTGCACAACATGTATGTGGCATCTCCAAAATACATAAAAATTCAAATCTATGACAAGAGAATCATATTATGAAACAGATATCTCTAACCTCCGTACTACTTATTTTTAATTATGAGGCGTTTATTAAATCAAAGCTTATTCGTGACAATATATACATTACTTTATTTCACAATTTTACATAGATGTGATAAATTAACTTACTAAAAATAGTCAAAAGGCAACACAAGCTGCTTCAACATACGTAACGTATTTTGTCAAGTTATCGTACATATTCATGGAGCACAGATGTGCAATCCAGACTCCAGCCAATTAGGATCACCCATAGTCACGTGATGAGTTGACGAGTCTCTCTCTTTTTAGAGTCTCTAGTTCTTACTCATAGATCTATAAATAAGAATCGCTCGGTGAGCAAGCTGCATTCCGAAACCCATCGAAAAAAAGTGTTGCAATTTTTCTGTGGCCAGCTGTACGCGCAAGCAACGGCGGAATCTGCAAAAGAAATAAGAGTGAAATCACAGTGCGGAATAGGACTGCGGAATAGAGAATGCGTCATTGAAACAATCACTCAGCGCTATTCCACGTTTGATGTTGCGGAATAGCGAGTGCGTCATTATTCTTGTAATAAATCGTCATATTTTGAGAGATTAAAATAATTTGATGCTGATTGATATGATGGAAATGTCGAGAAGCAAAATGACAAAATCTGAGTGCATAAATATAGATATCAAGATCAGAAAAACAATTTTTTGAACTGCTTTAACGCATTTATTATCATTTTTCCGCATTGTGTGAACATAACACGTAATGCAATTTCAGTGTGCCTTTTTTCACACTTTTTCGTCACGCCAGTTTTGTGTACTATGTTCACACGATGTGGAAAAATGATATTAAAATCGCTCGGCAGTTCAAGAAATTGTTATGAGATTGTAAATATTAATTGTAAAACATTAAATACTACAACAGTGATAATTGTTTTTATTATTTGAAAAAATATATTTCATTTTAATAATCAAATTATTAATATGAAGTTAATAGTTTTTAAATTATATTCATGTTGGATACATTTTTGACGCATCATGTGAACATAGCATAAAACTTGCGTAAAGTGCAGAATACACTGATTGATTACTTCAATGACGCACTCGCGTTCTGTATTTCTCAGTCCTATTCCGGACCGTGTGATTTCAAAGCCGCACTACAAACTTTTGCATGACGCATAGTGCATAAGTGAATCAACTAATCAGAATCTTTCTTTTCGTTCCATTTCATGGAAAAGAAGAACATCGCGTTGTTAATCACACTTCCCTTATGCATTATGCATTATGCGTTATGCAAGAGACTGTGCTACGGCCAATAAATTTGCGCAACAAAAACGGCGGAATCAGCGGAAAGCCATGACCAATCAGCGTTTCACAGTTCCGTAGTTCTGCATCCCATGGGAGCGCATTCTGAGGATGCAGTCCCATGGTGCGGAATTGGCGGAACACTCGTGATTGGTTGCGGCTTTATTCAGTCGATTCCGTTCCACTAAAATGTGTTCTCCTATGTCCCATAAAGCTGAATTTCCGGAATGCGCAATTAGCGTTGACTAATCACAAAAACCTTCCCGTAGATCACTTTCATTAGATCCACTGGAAAGCGTTTGTCATTGGCTCGGATTGATTGTACGCTGCAAGTTCCACTCCATGGGACATAGGAAAAACTCCTGCGGATCGGAAATCACACATACATATATACAGGAACATTGTCCTGTCTTCATTTTGTGTACCCATTTTGATTTTGATTTATATTTTCGTTTTTCTGTATACTATTGGGTCATAGATGTGTGTTGATGGTCATATATCTAGTGACAAAGTACCGCGGATACTTTTTAGATGACCCAATACATGTACACCATTCATTCTGATCATATTGACCACCGTATTTATTTAGAGACTTAAGCGGGGAGCTCAAACTCTTGCATAATGCATAGCATATAAATCATAAGAAATCCAACCAATCAGAGTTCTTTATTTCATAGAAAGGAAGAAAACAAAGGATTTTGATTGATATATTTTCTTATGCATTATGTGTTATGCTCCCCGCTTTAATTAATTACCTTCAGGATTATATTTAGATTTCACCCGAGTGCTACCCAGGTATCACACATTCTTGTAATTTACCGAATGTTAAACAAGAGTGACACAACACCCAGATGGGAATCCGAACACGCCTCAGCATGTTGATTAATTATGCGCTTGTAGGAAACAGTTTTCTCCATTAAACCAGTTTAACGAGGTTAGTTTTTATAAGTATATATATGTAGTACATGTACACGCACACATGCAGGTATCGGTGGAATCCGCAAAAGAAATAAACTTGCGAAATAAAATGATGGAATCGGCGGAATGAAGCCACGACCAATCACAAGCATTCCGTCAATTTCGCATTTCACCAATTCCGCACTATAGGATCGAACCTTGAGGCCGGGTTCACATCTTGGGATCGATTCTGTATTTTGAAATGAGGAAAATTATAAAAGTGAGCGAATTTACTAGAATACTGATTATTTCATTGATCAACATCTAATAAATTTATTCGCTTTTATAATTTTCACGTTGTTTGAAGATACAGAATCGACTCCCTTAACGGAAAAACGGAAAGCGGAAATGCGGAAGCCAATCGGAACTCGTAATAGTAGCGGTACATTTCATTTGCCTGCTTCTGCTTTCCGCGAGTACTGATTGGCTTCCGCTTTTCCGTCAAGGTAAACCCGGCCTGAGATTACGGTCACTCTGTATAATTATCTATGATTGACGCTAAAAAGTTCGTTTCTTTCTAGCGTTAACAGGTCACGATTAAACTTGATCGACGTTGGTGAAACCAGCCTTTAAAAACACAAATTCACTGCTAATGCAAAGAATTTGTGTGTTTTAAGTAATGGATTTTTGTTTTTAAAGCAGTGAATTTATGTTTTTAAAACAATGAATTTGTATGAGTTGTGTTGAATTTTGATTACTTTTCTGTAATGATTTTGAGAAGGTCTTCATTAATAAAAGGTACTCCAATATGCTTCTTCGTAAATGTTTTACGTTAAATTTAATTATATAGTTTCTTAAAAAAAAAATGGTCGCTTAAATCGCCCGTTTTTTTGGCACTTAATTTTGGAACTGAACTATGTGCCAAAAATTTTATCTTATATTCAGACATTCATCAAATAGATTTAAAGATGAAATGAAAATTATTATCAGAGCAGAGAGGAGTGGAATCAAACAGATTTTTGCATAGACGTAATATGTGACTCCCCCCCTTCAGCTATGATAACGATTGTTACCTCAACCTGAAACTTCTTTGTAATTAATATCTCATTGCAATATATTATTTGACACACATTTCAGTTAAAAACATGAGGGCAAAAATATAAAAAGTGACCTCTTTTTTGAGGTCATTTTTTATATTTGTATATATAAAGGTTAGGTTAAGTTCAGATTATTATTTTAATATGTTTAATATTATAATTTTATTATTCCAATCTAAGTAATAGCAACTTTAATTTTCTGTCAAAAATTATTACTCTTCGAAAAAAATTAATATATTAAATAAAAAATTAAAACCTACAATCTTAAGTAATCAAAGTTAAGTTCTATCAAATTAAAAAATAAAACAAATGGTACTGTTTTTTGTTATTTATATGAACTTATCTTTTTAAAAAAGGTAAACAAAAAGCATTAAGCATGCGTATTTTTCGTGAAGAATTATTTGGGCCGGTTCACCAACGCCAATTAGCCATGGAACTGACTAATTGTATTTGTTGTTTAGTAGAATTAACCACTTATAGTTGACAGCGATTCGGCTTAATCGAGTTCGTGAAACCGGTCTTTTGTATATAATACTAAATATCCAACCCAATTAATAATATAATAATTTTAATTTTTTTTTCAAAGATATTCTTATTGAAAGTTTTCTTATTTCAACTCAAGTAATGGCAACTTTAATTCTCTGTCAAAAATTATTACTCTTCGAAAAAAATTAATGTATCAAGTGAAAAATTAAAACTCAGATGCTACAATCTTAACTAATGAAGTTATAAATTCTATTAAATTAAAAAGTAAAACACAAATGATACTGTCGCTTGTTATTTAACTCTAATGATATGTATCATTCGTATAAAATTTGATATCAACAAAATTAGCGCCAAGTGAAATTCCTCAAAATTTTATGTATTATTCGTAAAAAAGATTTGATATCAACAATTGACGCCAAGTTAAATTCCATGTAATTCGGATATCAAATTATATAAATAATATTAACTTTAATTCTTATAAAAGATTTGATATCAAGAACTGGCGCAAAGTTAAATTTCATTTCTTTATATCATGCTAAATTAAATAAATAATGAATATTAATCTAATGATATGTATCATTTGTATAAAAGAATTGATATCAACAACTGTGGCGTCAAGTTAAATTTTACTATCAAAATAAAATGTAAAACCCAGATGATACTGTCTTTATTATTATTTACTTAATCCAAATAATACGAGTACTATCTTTAATTTTTATGAAATGAAACCTAAGTATACGTATATCTTATTGAAGGATCTTTCTATTACAATCCAAATGATTTAAATTCCTCTTAAAAGAAATTATATTACAATTCATTCAAAGACATTTTTTCTTCCAACTGAAGTTATTTAATTCTCCTTCAAAATATTATATAAAACATTATCAACAAAAATTACGTTACCGTTCTCAAATTAAGTATTATCACAAAAAAATTAAAAAATTAATCGTATAAAACAAAAAAATTTAATTTAAATAGAAAAATTTTTCATGTCAAAATATTTGGTGCTGCTAATAATAAATTTAATCTGAACTTTACACCGAATAAGAATAAAATTTACTATCAGTGAAAAATGTAAAAAAGTCCGTCAGAGCCGTCATCAGCTGTTCGGATGCACAAAAATTCTTTATTTTCATGTGAATATGTAACGAATAAAATATATACGTTTCAATCCATCAATTCGGGTCCTTATCAATATAAAATATAAATCGAAGTTACATAATTATCGCAAATTCCATTTTGATGATTCCTGACAATTTAGTTCGCTCTTTTTTATCCAACTGCCAAATTAGCTATATAATGAGTAGTCCAATGATTATCAAAAATATTAACTTATACAATAATATTATAAAAACTTACATAAAGTAAAAATGAAGTCATAAACATTGCGTCACTCGTTAGAATCATATCGCTCATCAGATTGTCAGATTTGCTGTGTAGTCATTCAAAAGAAATATGAAAACGAAAAAAATTAAAGAATTATTAAAATCATTTGTCTGAGTTTTTTATTATATCACCTTACATATAAGCGTTTTGTTGCGACTCGACGTAAAGATCTTGTGGTGTCAACAGTCAGAGATACAATGAGAGTCAAAATAATAAAGTCAAGTAGTTATTGGAATAAAATAATAATAAAATAACATAAAAATAAAGATAAAAATAAAAATAAGGACAAAAATGAGTAAAATCAACGTCATACTTTCGCAAAAAAATCCATTTATAATATAGTGGGTGTCCAAAAAACGTACCATTCTGTAAATTCAAACTCTGTTTCTATTGCTTTATATAGATTGCTGTATTGGGAAAATATCAAGATATTAGACTAGGAAAAGGTACTTAATAAAAGATTGATTTTGAAAGCGATCCATATAAAGCAACAGAAACAGAGTTTAAATTTACAGAATGATATGTATTTTTTGGATCCATTATACATGGATTTGTTTAGATATTTCTCCACTGCATCCTTTTTTGGAGTATTTTCGGCAAGCAACTGCTGCAATATGTTGTCATGCAGCGTCTGCAAATCGAGATCATACTGTCTTATAAATACAAAAAATTCCATTTAATACAATTTTCCTACATTGTTAAACCAAGCTGATTGTACATGGAAAACGTAAGACAATTATAAGGAACATAAATAAAATACTAAAAAATATTATAATATTAAAAATATAAAAAATATACTAAAAAATTATAAAAAATTATAAAATACTATAAAATGCTATATACTATATAATACTATAAAATACTATTATATATTACTATATAATAATAAAATACTAAAAAATATAAGAAAATGCACAATCTAAAAAGATTAATTTCAGATTATTACAGTCTATGAAGAAAATCAATTATAATTATTTATTAAATGTAACTATTTATTAAAAATCGTGAAAAATATGAAAACATATCAGTTAATTATGGAAATCTATGAGATATGTCGATTATTGGTTATTCAAAATTAATTCACCTTTTTGTTTTTTTGTTAATCGTCTGCAATGAGTCGAACAGCTTGGTGTTTCATAAATGTCCGACATGTTACAATCTGTTGGAGAAGACACATTACATTGCTGAAATTCCGAATAATTCGGGCTTAATGCACTAACTTCATCATGACATATGTTCCGTGGTAGAGAACTTGTTGTATTAAAATTAAACAATAAAGACGAATAAGAAAAATATACCATATTTTTCATATTCTAAAGTCTATATCAGACAAGTCATTAAGCACGGCATTTCCTATACAGCCTCATCTAGAAATTGCATTCTTAAATAGAAACGGAAAGTACTTTTCTGTGGATGTCTCGCTTTCACATCTGATCCGCTGCATACATAACCTTTCATTTTTTTGCGAGCTTTTGAGTAACCTCAGGTACGTCCATCGAGATTTCATCCACGCTATGTTCTTAAAACCTAAAAATAGTAATAATTCAAATTATGAATTCAGCTTACACAAATATAAAAGTACATTAGCCCATTTACGAGTGCAGATTATTATCCGTATTTATAGATCAGATCTTGTACTTAAGATTTCCTTAAATTTATTTTTAGGTGCTCAGTAGATCTCTCTAGTGATCCATTTGATTGAGGATGAAAAGCTGTTGTGCGAAATTTGCGAATTTTAAATATTTTTGTTATTTTCTTCATTAAATCGCTAATAAAAATTTTTTCCTGATCCGTTAATATTGCTTTAGGTACTCCTAATATGCAGATAAATCTGTCAACGAAAATTTCTACTATCGTCTCGGAGGTTTGATTTGGCAAAAGTATCCCTATGCAGAATTTTCGTCAGTTAATCTTGTAGTGTTAAAATATACTCATTGCCCCTTTCGGTTCTAAGAAGGAGTCCTACGATATCCATTGAGACTTTATCGAAGGAAGATCTTGGTGTATCAATAATCATCATAGGTTATTTAA